TCATATAAGTATTATCTATTATTAATTTATTTATTTTATTATTAATTTTATATAATATTAATTTATTATTTAAAAATTCTGTATCTGTTCTGTAATTTTAAGTACCAATAATATTGAATAAAGAATAAGTTTAAAATATAATAATCTTGTCTGTCTTGAATTAGTTTTTTATGTGAATTTTATTTTAAATAATATTACTATATATCTTGAATCTTCTGTGTGAATTTTTCTGATATATTATATAATGTAACTAGAAAGATTACATATTTCTTCTTCATTATATTTATAATTTGCTTATCTTACTTTATTATTATAACATATAGTTAACCTAATAAATAACTATAGACTTATGATAGTGAACATGCTTAGCTATTTTCTCAAAATTCTACTTTGATTCAGCTGCATATTCATGTAGAAAGATAATTTCATATCATTTTTTGAGTGAAAGTTCTATATTTTAAGTTAAAAAGTTTGATGATTCATCTAATACTTTTAAAAATGATTTACAAATCTATAATTGATCACGCATTGTATTATACTTTTTTTCAGAAAAATTTAAGAGATTATTATTATGTGCATTCATGTGATACAGATGGTAGAATACTTTTACACATTACTGTATCTTTAGAAACTGAACAATTAGCCCAAATGCATATCGATATACATGTACATGTACATAATATATGTGTTTAATTAATCATTATTTCTATCATGCAAAAAAGAACTCTGACATCATTATGAAAACATATTATTTAAAAGTTATGCAACAGATTGAAAGGTAATTTTGTTTCCCTTGTATTTATTATATTTATACTTGGTGAATATCTACTTTCAAATTTATGATTGTTATTATTTTTATTATCAATTAGATTGGAAAATAAGCTTTCTGTTGCTTCAACATTAGATAAATGTTGAGGTTGACTAGTTGCAGCATATTGAAGAAATTTATGTTTGTCATAGGTATGTAAACTAATTTATATTACTCAGTATATAACTAATATATGAACATGTAACCACTTTTTAACATTAAGTATTGACTTATTTGTTTCTGATCTTATTAGAAAACTGTTATATTGAGCTTTTAATTTGTCTCTACTATATTAAAAGTTATCATAAGATGCTGTGTATCTTTTAATATTTATTTCTTTATATAAGTTAAAAGAAGATACAGGTAATTCGCCATGCAAAATACTCACTTTTTAATGTATTTACCTTCCTTTTTTTTAATAGTTTTACTAAACTGTAATCGTTGAATGTAAGAGATCCTGGTATTTTGCAGTACGAATTACAGTATTATGGTGGCGGGACAAAAACAGGTAAGAAAAGTACTTGTAATAAATAAAATATGGTTTTTGATGGATGCATGTATATGTATGCGTTTTGACATCACTTTAAATCAAATATAAGCTAAATACATGTACATGGAAATTATGTAAAAAATTTATAAATTGAGGATTTCTAACAGTTTTCTTAAATCTTTTATTATCTGAATTTGAATTTACATTAGTTTAATTAATTATATTCGGATATAATTATAATGGTAATTAATTTTAAACTATAATAAATGATTTCAAAATAATAAATAACAATAAGACTTGGGCTAGTCAACAATATATTTGTATTCGTACCAAGAAACTTTCATCCTTTTTTACACTAGTGATTTTTATCTGCGCATAAACTAATTATCGTTATATGTAACTATTTATTTTATATTATATAATCAATTCCATCATGCAATCCATTGCAAAAACCTATCAACGAGTGTTTACTTACATTAAATTTATCCTATTTCTAAAACAATTATGCGTATATATGGTGTATATGTATGGGGCTGTATTACTATATGAAGCCTTTGATTATTGGCCAATTGTTCGTTATTAACCGATTATAGCAATTATATGTTCATTGTTGCTTAATTGTTCAATATTTAACGGGATTGTATTACTATATAAAACGATATTTATAGTATGTTTTCGGAGGTTTTTCAGTACCAGATTAATAAATTAACTTCTTGGAATTAGGCAGATTTTTTTACGTAGAAAAAATTCAAATTTTTTAAAATCAGGTGATACTTAGCAAAATTGCATAAAATGTAAATTACACAACATGCCAAAAGTATCCGGATAAGATAATTTATAAAAATGATCGACAATATTTTAAACGCACAACCAATGAATCAAATTTTATTATTAGAACCCTAAAATCCTTGACTTCAGAATATATCTTTTTTATAAGAATTCATCCACTAGAAATTATATTTATCATTTGAATGAAATTGATTACTTTTGTGTTTACTAACTTCAAATGATATTTTTGGGAGAATTCACAGGTTAACATTAAATAAAATTTATGTGATTAGAAACCCACTCTATTTAATGAACATATTTATATTTTCTATATTTGAGTTATATGTCAATTTGTTCATGTATATTTGAAATTATTGAAATTATGATTATTTCAATCAAAATTGATATGAAGTAATTAGATGCGATTTATGACACAACCAGTGATTCAACATTTATGATTATTTTTTATTAGAATCCCCAAGTCATAAGCTTTCAATTATAAATAGTCATATATCTGAGTCTTTCGTTTGCTATTCTGAATAGTTTGTGAATCAGATGGCGCCAAATATGAAGGATGTGATCAGCTAATACACTCTACAATCACATCTCTCTATAGTCACAATTTTTATAGTCATCCTTTTTGTGTTTCCCAGTTATTAAGCAACTATAATTAAAAAAATCTCTCAATAGTCCACAACTCTCTATAATTATCCAATTTTGCTTCCCCAAGTGTTGTGACTATAGAGAGGTTTAACTATATAATACTGTATTTCACAGGAAACAAATATAATATTTATAATATTTACAATAGAAAAAAGATATAATTTTATTTTTAATAAAATTATAAAATTTGTATTAATTTATTTGTCAGATCGATCATAGTGCTATTTTGGTTGAGTAGCCCAAGTAAGATTGATTTTGTGTTGGCGAATATGAAGACAGTGTTGCTGCAACTGGGAATTGCTCTTCTGGCATGCAATTCACGTATATATGACTGTTGATAACATATAAACGATTTTACGTGAATATTTTTAACAAGCACATGATTTTATTTAACAAGTAATGTGTAGTCAAATATTTATTAACAAAGTGCAAAGTATAAAAAAAATAGCATTACACGCATTGAATAGTATACCATCATCGGGATCATTTTTTTCATATATATTTTTACGTATTTCCGAACTAATTAAAAATCCGATGCCGATCACGTGTACAATCCGACCCACCTGTACGCCATGATTGGTATATGTCCGTAGATTCTCCCCAAAAAAACTGCATACATTTCTAATCGTGATACATGTAGTTCTCATTTTAAAAAATTATTACCCCGGAATCGCCGTTACTTAGGCATGCGTACTGAGAAAATTGTTATACTGGTCTGGTCCCACTTTTATGTGCCAAAAAAAGAAACACATGCATGATGTGGGATCTTAATAAATGATCATTTGACGATCGGTGAAAATAACAATAGGTCCGTGTGTTGGGAAATTTAAATGTTAATTTTTTTCTCAAATATGTTCTAAGTAGTTGTGCGTTCCTCATGTATTTAGGAATTACTAATATAAGTTTCATCCTTAATGTATTATAATTAGTATCTTTAATAAAAAAGCATCATTTATTCTTGTGTTATTCATAGAAATTACAGGGAGCATAATGATGCAATACAGTATATTTAAAAGGTGGTGTATAAATATATATGGCACTGTATTAGGAATTTAGTGCATAAATATAAATAAATATATATTTATATATTTATATATCACATATTCATTATTAATTATATTTCAAAGTTGCATACATGTTCAAAAATGAACAAGAGAAATGCAAATGAAAAACTAAATTACATGTATATTGTGAAACGATTAAATCAATATTCTTTTAACTTAACCATATCGGTAACGGCTTTTTATTTTATAACAATAAATAATATTTCACGCGTAATTTAAAATTTATCGCGTTTTGATTTGAAGTCTGTTTTCTAACGAATACAAGATGAAACATAATAATATAATTCTTATCATTTAATAAAGCAATTAATACTAAAATGACGAAAGAGAAGGTGATATCATTCATTCACAACAATACTGATAAGGAGTTTTCTTTTAGTGGCAAAAAAACTCGGGCCCAAACTTGACTCTTGCTCTTTGAATTTTAAATTCTCTATGATTCTTTGTCCTTTTGCTGATTCATCGACATGCATTTTTATCAATAATATTATGGTCTAGATCGATTATGAGGCTATAATATCGTTAATTGAACGAAAAAAGCAACAAAAGAAATCAATAATTTCTATTGTTTCTATTACATGCATTCTATCAGTAATCATCAATAATTATTTGAAACGCTGTGGCTTGTTTTTATTTTTCTCACAATTTCCTTTCATTGTCAATATCAAAAAGGAGCAAAACAAAATTTTCCATTAAAACGGAGATAATAAAGCATATTTAGAATATTGCATAAAATGGAATACTCGGAAGAATTTTCAAATGATACGTGTTACAAAATGATTTACCTAATACGTGTAAGTTAACTCTCCCAAAATGCACCCTCTCTTAGTACATGTATATATATTATTTGAACTTATTCGATGTTACTAACATTTGTACTACATGTATAATTGTTCATTGCATAAACTATCCGGAGTTTGTCAGAAAATTTAACTAGAAAAAAAAGGCTCTTATATGGGAGTAGTTGGATATTATCGTCGTCGTTGCTATTGTTGTCGTTGTTTGTCGTTGTTGCCATTGCTGTTTACATTTTTTTTGGATAAGGACTATTTTATGAAAAAGACATAATCAGAAAGATTATGATTTGTAATTCCAATAAAAAAATAATTACAAAATTTGATTCACAGATTGCGACATCTAATTACTTAATATTAATTTTGACTTAAATAATCATCATTTCAATAATGTCAAATTATTTACATAAGAATTAATCTATTAAATTGTTAATAAAAAATAGTCTAAATGTATTATTAGAGCAGATTTTACTGATTCTAACTATATAAATTTATTTATTCTTAATATGTAAATTCTTTCAAAAAATATCTTTTTCATAAAAATTAGTTCACTAGAAATTTTGTAATTTCTATTTGAATAAAACTAATTATTTTAGTATTTACTAACTTTGACTGATATTTTTAGTGTTCTGAAGAGATCAAATGAGATCAGGTTTTGAAAATATTCATTCAATCCAAGTATAAAAATTAAAATATATAAATACTTGAATTAATATTTATATAATTCAAAACTCGACTCGATTCTTAATTAATCAACTTATAACTTAATTGAACAGACTTATATTTTAATATGTTCTGGCATGATTAATATTCAGGAAATCTAATATAATTTTATATTAATTATATTAATAATTAGTTTTTTTAAATAACAAATAATAAACTTTATATTCAATTTTTATTATTAAATCTTGAGATATAGAGTCTTAAAGAGATTATACAAAAATTTTTATTTTATAATTTTTGTATATGATCTCTTTGAAATCAATCGCTCAAGATTTAATAGCAGAAATTAAGTATAAATTTCATTATTAATCCACTAAACTCAAAAAATTAAATAATAAGTTTATATTTTATTTTTATTACTGAAGCTTGAGATATTAAGCTTCAAGAAGTTGAATAAAAATTTTCATTTAATAATTTTTATATATAATCTCTTTAATATATAATATCTCAAGATTTATTAAAAATTATTTCTGAAAATTATATTTTAAATAAATATTTCTTTTCTATATAATATTGATACTTTGATTTTAATAAAAGATATTAGTTAAAAATTTCATTTAATTTATTATTAGCAAAAATTTATATAAGATAAATTTTACAAGAAATAATTTTAATAAAATATAAAGAGCAGTTTAATAAGTAAAAATTTAAGATACAAGCTATTTTAAAAAAACTTAATTTTATTTTGAATTTTATATTATATCTTGTTCTAAATTTTGATTAATATGATAAATTAATAATAAATATTAAGTCATATTATAATTATATAAAATTATTTATTTGAGTTTTTTATTAGTTATACTAAAATAATTTATATAATATCATATAATTAATATATTTTATATATTCTTTTATTTTTATTGACTTGATATATCATATAAAAATATAATAATAAAAATAATAAAACTATAATTTATTATATAATTTATATTTAATAAAAATATATAAATAATTAATTTTATAAATAAATCTGATACAAATATAAAAAATAAATATTACAAGAATAATCTGGCTTGAAATATTAATTGAAAAATATTAGAATGAAAATTTTATATATTATCTTGTTTTCTAATTCTAATTATATTATTATTCTTTAAATTATTAATATAAATAAATAGTTATATTTATTATTATATTATAATTTCTTTTAGTTTTCTAGTTATATTTTTATAGATTTATAATTTAATAATTTTTAATTCATAATAATAATATTAATATAAGAACTTTTTTCTTTATTTCTCTCTTATTTGATTTTTAATTTAATATCTTAATAAATTTTATTTTCATATAAATTAATTTTGTTTACTTTATAAATAAATTAATTGGTTATTAAAAATTTTCTAGTAATATTATTTTTTAATATATTATTTATAATTCTAACAAGTTGTATTTTATAATTTTAAATATATTAAAAAACTGATAAATGATAAAATAAATCAGAAAAAATTAATAAAAATCTAATTAATAATAAAATAATTCTTATTAATGAGTTTTCTTAATTTATTATATTTGTAAAAATCAAAAAGAGAAATTTTCAAGATAAGTTAATATCTGAACATTTATATATTTTTTCAGATTATTATAATTTATAATATTTAAAATATTATTTTACATCTAGAGAAGTTATATTAAAATATTATATAATTCAAAGTAATTTATTTGATATTTATAAACAAATAAAAAATGAAATGAAAATTATAAAAATTAAATATTTTAAAGATAAATTAGTATTTTTAATAATATAATCACTATTATATTGATCTTATCTATATGCTATTTCAAGACAATAGATTGATATTCTATTAAATATGATTTTTGAAATAAGATTCACATGCATTGTATAATTGAACTGAAATAAACTAAAGATCAAGTTTAAATTTATAAATATTATTAACACATTTCTGATTTTATTTATATGTATTTAGCATCTGTAAATCTGTTAATAATTATATTGATGCACATTATTTCAGTTATTATTTTGAAATATATACAGAGTCAATTAAAAATTATGCAATATTTGAATTTTTTACTAATTGTAATTAGTAAAACATGAGTTTTTTATCACATATGCAAGATTTAAATTTTACTAATAAATATTTTTTTTTAGTTCAAAATGAAGCTGATTTTCTAAGCGAGTTGTTCTAATTGCATATAAAGTCAATTAATTTTTATTATATTTCTTTTAGTAAATATTTCTAATTTTATACATTTTAAAAGTTACTGTGAAAGACTTAAGATTTAAATTACTGTTATGTATTGTAAAGAATTACCGACATTAAATCATGTACATGTACATGTAATTAATGTTGAGGATCGGATCGGTAAAATAAAGAACCCGTGAAATTTTTTGGAGTAATAATTGATGACAGATTTTATCTAATTGAATCGAGACACCGATTTTACGAAAATAAGGTTCAATTTTGTAAAAAGTATTAAAACCTAAATAATTGAAAAAAGGACCAAAGAAAAAAATAACACAATAGATTAATATGAATAAACAGAAAGAACCGATATCGAATGAATGACGAAAGAACAAAAATAAAGCCGAGAACAGAACAAGTACATGACGAAAGAACATAATGAATATGAGAAAGAACGAAATAAATGACGAAAGAACAATAAAAATGGAGAAGCGAATAACAAATTAATGAATGTGCGAATAGTTAATTTATAGTTATCGAAGGAATATATTGATTTGTTTATGCTTGATAATGTTGTATATATAGTGAAATCTTATATATCTCTAACTTTAAATTTATCATATTGTATATTATCGTTATCGTTATAAAATGATTATATTTGTTAATGATCACTGATAAAGGGATAAAGGATGTCCCATAAATTCGATTATAATCGTTCCCGATTGAATTCAGGCCATTGATCGGCGAAGGATGAGTTTTTATCAATGGTCCGATTATTAGTATCAAATAAAAAAGGTTGATCCAATGAAATTATTTCATTAAATATGTCATCGATCGAATTTTCGGCATCAGTATTGATCGTAGAAGGATAAGTTTTATCAATGGTTGAAGCGGTGATGACAGTCCGATTATTGATATCATTGTTATCCAAATAAATTATTTCATTAAATGTGTCGTCAATCGAATTTCCGGTATTGGTATTGATCGTAGGGGGATGAGTTTTACCAAAGATCATTGAAGTGGTGATGATAGTTGACGATGTTGTATCATTTGAAGAGGATGATCTAACGATTTGTGTCGCTTTCCGAGGAGGTAAATTATTACTCATTGAGTTAGGCATGGATAAAGAAGTAAATGCATATTTCTTTTGTTCGCGAAATACCCATTTCTTAATGCTTGAATTTTTGACATTTCTTGGCTTATACTTATAATTAGGATATAAATTCTTATGATTCTCACGAGCTATTTTCTCCAATATTTTGAAGAAAAACTTTTCTTCGCTTGATAGCGTTTGCCACTTTAAGCTGCACTCCTTTGCTGTATCTTTGACTTTTTGTTTAGTGTGCTGATTAAATAAACGTAAATGCGCTTCATAATCTCTTCGAAAAATTATCCAGCTGTTTTGTGGACGTGGCCACTTTTCGGAACCACCGCGTTTTTTCATAGCTGGTTTGGTGACTTCTTCTATTGAAAGAGTTAATTGGTGATGACATTTACTTAAAATTAATGATTCATAATAGCTCAAGTATCCATAATTAGCAGTAACATAAGAATTGGGCATTTTGAACAGTATAATTAATAAAAGAATTGCTAAGGATTTCTTTCATTCAGTATAAGTAAAAGGACGAAAAATTTGCGCATTTTTATATGTTTAGTAGATGCTCTTCAAAATCTTAATTATTTTCCTTATATGTCAATGTCAATTAGAAATGAAGCTAACGATAATGCATTTTTAGTATCATAATCGATCTAAGCCATGTTACTGCTGATAAAAATAACATTAAAGAATATAACGCACAACAGCCAATAAAATATTAACAATCTTAACACGACATAAGCAAAAAGACCTCGAATATTCTCACATTCATATTATAATTGCCCATGACACAATCAAAGAAATTTAAAGTTTGGACTCGAGCTGTTTTTGGCAAACAAGCGGTCCTAAAACTCGCTTGTCGTTGTATTTTAGAAATACAAGAGTTAAATTGTAGTTTTTTATTCTTCCTCACATTTGTATTCTCTTTCGTCATATTACAATTAGTTGTTTTATTATATATAATGATGGTGCTCTCAAATAAAGTGTTACATAGTTGTGGCTTATAAATTTTGAGTTTCGTGTCACATGGTTGCGACAGCCAATCAGGAATTGTAACATCCATTAATTAATTAATAAAAAATATAATTTTTTTATTTATATGTTTCATTTTATATTAGCTACTAAAAACAGACTACCGTAAAGTTCAGTGAATAAGCACCCTTTTTTTGCAACGGGGATGCCAAAATTACTAATAGTCAAAATGGTTATAATACGGTCCAGGTGTGCTTATTTTCAGGGAGGCATATTCACGAAATTTTATGTTAATGAATTATTACAAATTAAAACCGTTAGATTTTAAATTACGCGCGTGTATAATATTAATCTCGCACTTATCGGCGGTCTTTTTTAGAAAGTTTGAATAAATCTAAATCGGGAGCAAACATTAATTATCATTATAAATAAAAAGGAGGTTACCGATAAGGTTAATTTCATTTACATTTCTCGTTACATACATGCACCTGTATTAGTCACACGATTTGTCATTTTGCCACCGGCATGCATATGAGAGATCACTTTTCTATATGTTCCTTCGGATATTGTGAGACCGGAACCTCGGTTTTTTATATTGACCCAGAAATTGAATAAGATGCAACGCATCTTTACCTATCTCTTCCGATATATCAGAAGTCAAATAATCAGTATTGAATGAAGCCACATCTTTTTAATTTTCAGCCAATTAAGTTAGTGATGCACCGTCTGCAAAATCGTAAACATTCGTTCTATCATATCCAAGACCTTTATTTTGAACTCAAAAATACTAACTTCATCATATATTCTGAATAATTATAATGACAATTTACAGTTACAAAGTTTTTCTTTAAAAATACACTATATAATAGATAGTATTCCAAATTCAAAAAAATTAAGGGTTTGTACATGTATATACTACTTTGTATAAATTACCTGTTAGAGTACGAATTTTATTATAGTTACTCATTGTTGAAGAAATATGGTTTTATTTAATTCTCTAAAAATAAGAAAATAAAAGAAAGGGACCATCCCTACAAAAAGACTGGTAACATAAGGGACCTGAATGCATATAAAACATATACCCTGTATTGTATAATTGCATTTAATTAAATCAATATTTGATTCTAACGATAAGATTATTTAAATTTATTTATTATACTATTTATCCTCAATATATATAAAAGTAATTATTTTTTATATCAGATATTGAATCAAAATGCGTGTAAACTCTTCTCTGTACGGTACATCTTCAAAATTGCCTTTTCTTCAGGCCCCATCAAACTTTTTATATTGTTAATATAAAACAATTTACAGTCGCACTCCTTTATAAGAACCTTATATAGAACAAATTCATATATGAACAATTTTTCAAAAATAAACCTATTATAATTATATTGAAATTTCTCTCTTTATAAGAACTTAATTATAAATTTTTATAAGAACAAATTTTTTTGTTTCCTGACCATGCTTTATAAAGAGATGTGGCTATATTTTAAAATTCTTTTTTTTTATTATTCTATTCTTTCTATAGATATGTTTTTCTCGACTGAAAAAGCACACTTCTTTTAAAACTTGCACTTAATATTCTGAATGAGTCTCGGCAAAATTCATTGCAGCTTTCACAGCTTCTGTTGCTGTTGAACCAACAAATTCATTATCATCATCATTATCAGCGAAGCCTTAAAAGCACCAACGCAACCACACAAGTAACAGATGATAACAGTAAACGGCGAATGTAGAACAAGTTTTAACTAAAACAATCAATTACATCACCGCCGAACCCGGATGCAACAGTATCTCTCTAGACAGAACAAGTTGATATTGAAACAAGGAAAAAAATGTATCAGAAACAATTCAGTTATGTTTGAAATGATTCGAACGAGAAGGAATTTGTCAATGATCTTCAGTACTTGCTAGATGTAACTGTGTGTGTTTCATGTTTGTGTCTGTATTTATGTAATGTATTGTCATTTAAAATGATCCCTGCAGCAATATCCAAGGATCGGGTATCCGTCTACCAAATACATGTATTGCATGCAAACATTTCTGTTACAGGAAATATATTATATGCAAAGAAACGTCTTGAGAGTAATTTGTATATTTTCATATTGTAGCAATTACTTATTCTTCGGGCAATTTATCAAGTAGTTCTATCAATAATGGATGCACTTAATGGCCTTGTTGTCAGCATACGTATATACGATAAATATCTTCTTTATCACAAATCAGAACTAAAAAATTTGTAATCCCATGTGACAACTGGTAGATATCGCTCACTTGAGAGCTTATTGACAAAACCCATTCGGAGATCCTTTATTAGTCATATTAATACATTTAATTTTTAATTTATATCGTTTGTTATCATCCAAACTTTAATTTGTATTTTGTCTCGTAGACTCATCTTCGAGTTACTCTGGAATTTTCGATGGAAATTCTCATTATAATAGATCATGAACATTGAACAAACTCCACAATAAATTGGATTGTGAAATCCGAGAAAGAAATGAACATGCAAAAAGGGAGTAAAACCTCAATCGAAGAATAACAAAATGAATGAACTTGCAGTAAGACGTTTTTTAATCGAAATTAACGTTCATATATTATATTCTTCGCATTAATAATATTCTTTTTATCAAAATTAATGCGTCAAAATCGATGCCTCAATATAAAATTATACAGTGAAGGAACACCAATATTCACGAGAAACACTTTAAATTTTATCCTCAGTTCATGACGACAACACATATCTCGACTTGACAACTTATCGCAACTTTCTTCAGAAATTCATCAAAAACAGGGAAGTCTGAATAGGTTCAATTAAAACCATAACATTTTCAACAATTGTCGCTTTCATCTCGTATGTAAAATAAAGATTATGGTTCACCTTTACTTTCATATATAAATATTAGTCCAGCATTGCTTTGATTTATATCTTTTCACCTTTTTGTATTATATTTCCAATAGAGGATTATATTATTATTGTTATTTTTATATTGTTTCTGTTTTCTGGAATATTTTCTCTTGTATAGCATTATTCTCTGAAAACACCCCTCTAATTTCGGAGGAACCCATTCCATCCTTTTTTTGGTCCAAAAATTCTTGTATTTTATATTTTATATTCCCTTTTTATAGTGCGCTTTTTTCTACTTGGATTTTTTAGCGCTTATATTTAGATTCTAGACTATTTATTTTGTATTTTTCTAACACCTTTCTTGTTCATACTCATCCCTTTTACAGTAACTGGCCACGTCGGCCGAACGTCTATAGAGAACAGTGTCTTTTCGTGATCTCAATACTAGAAATTTTGGTTAGACACAAGAAAAGAGAAGTTTTTCGCACACCCTATAAAACTCAAAAAATTCTTTCTTTCTTACTCCAATTCATCCTCTGAAGATTTGTTGATATCTTCAAAAACAAAATGGTTATTTCTTTTATTCACTCTTTATCTACTCCGTATACAATTTTATTCCATATTTTTTTATGAAAAACTCTCATCCTTTTAAAACCAACCTAAACAAATAATACCTTTACATCTAAGTTGTTGGAGACAAATAAATCGAAACATTCTACTTGATTATCCACCCTTGATCAATAATAAAAGATTAATAAAGAGGTCTAACTTTCTTATTTTTTTTTGAATTACTATTATAAAGCGTGTATGTTTGTGTAATTAGTTGCTTTTTTATTGAGAAGTCTTACGATTTCAAAAATAAACTTAGGGTTGAACATCTCTATTACTCATGTATGTACACGGTATAATATATTTATATACCTAAATCTATAATATTATAATATGCTTTATATGTTTTCTTTTATTTATCCATAAATTATTCCTACACATTCAAGAAAGAAAATAGGTTTTTATGAATATATACATGTAATTAAATACTCGTAGCGGTAGACTCTTCAATGATTTGCATACTCTTTATCTGTAAATTTTTAATTTATGACGATGATTATCGTTATATATTACATATAATATATAGTGGCACTCAAAAGTATTGCATCACTCGTATGATAAATTTCACGATTTAATAACGTTTCATATACAACATCAATCAATACATAAATAGGCTCATTTTAATGCCCATTTATGTATTTATTTTTCATGTCGCACATTTAAAAAAATTAAACCACATTTTATATCAAATCAAGCGATCCGTTTCTTTTGAACGTTTTGATAAATAAAAATAAAATCAAAATTACTCAATAAACTAAATAAATTTAATCCCAATTTTAATTAACACCTAATATAGCCATCCTTTGCATTAATTACATCTTGAATGCTTCTTCCATACTTTCAATTAACTTCATTAAAAATGCATTATCAATTTTGATCCAAATTTTTTTGTATCACATCACAGAGTTGATCTTGAGTATGGATACCAATTGATGATCTATTACATTCCAGAGATGCTCAACCAGGTTAAGCTCAGGTGATTGGGCAGACCAATTGAGCAAATGGATATCATTATCATCAAATCATCATATATAGATTTTGTTATGTGTTTCAGATCATTATCTTGTTGAAAGATAACATTATTTTTATTAATTTCATATCATTAGATTGTTTCTAAAAGTCATCTTTTAAGATTTTACAATATAAATTCTTATCTATATGATCATAAATGTGTGATATTACCAATATAAAAAATCCAAAGCAATCTCCAAACTATTATATTTCCATCTTCAAATTTACTGTAGATTTCATGTAATACTCTTTCAAAAAATTCATCATCATATTTCCAATAATATTCACATCTATCTGAATTAAAAATTATAAATTTTGATTCATCTGATCAGATGACTTTACTTCAATTATTAATAGTCCAATGATGATAATTTTTTGCAAAATTTAAATATTAAATTTAATATGATTTTTTAAGATATAATTTTTTCATTTAATTCATGAAGAATGATCATTTTAATATAAAGTTTGCTTTATTATACCTGTGCTGACATCAATTTTATTATCAGTTTTTAATTTTTTGAATAGGTATTGCAGTAGAAATCTACCATTTGAAATTAGATATGTAATATTTTGTTCATCATGTCCAAAAAAAATTCTTGAATGCCTGGTTTTGGTAAATTTTTAAAGATATTATAAATCTCTTTTTTTGCTTTATTCTTATAATAGAGAATTGGGAAATATTTTCAAGATTTGCAATATAATAAAAAGAATATTTTCTTTAAAAAGAGTATAAATTTGGAATTTTTTTTTGATGAAAATATGTGTCATAATAATTTTAATTATACAAGATAAAAGAGTGAATTCATAAGTGTATTTTATTTATAGGGGATGTGGTTTGTTTTGATATATGTTTTTTATTCATTTATACATGTATATTTATTTTGAGGGGAGGGAAAAATAATCAAAAGAAATGCATCATCAATTTGGTGTAATAAAGTCAAAGTTAAGCAAAGTGATATTACATTTATTCTTTAAATTACATACACTATTTATGTATGCTTTTAACTATATATGAACTAAATTTCATTTATCTGTGGTGTCTATATTGCTAAAAATTCCCCGATTCATTTTTTCATCCTAGTGATACAATACTTTTGAGCGCCACTGTGTTGTTCAATGTGATAATAAAATATTTAGCGTTAGTTAGTTGATATAACTAATAAATTGTACATATTCAAGAATAATAACTTTGTATGAAAAGTGGGAAAATTCAGGAAAACATGTGAATAAATTGGTAATTTAAAAAGAAATTCAAGAAATACGAAGAAACATTGATTAAGAATAAACATATTATTTCAAGTGGAAAAAAATCCATCAGATCTTTTGCTCCATAATTTTTCTTAACAGGATAAAAGGAACAGTTCCCAGTAAACTTAATTCTGTAAATGGTATTTGATAAGAGCAAACATATAAGGAATACTTGCACTTACATGATACTAGTATATATTACATTTCTTCCCGTATTATCGGGTCATATCAATTACTTGATATTTTGGAACGAGCACTCAGAAATAAATTTTTCTTATATTACATATATTTGTACATGTATTTGGTAACAATAAATTACCCGTTAAACTATTGTTGAAATTGTGCATAGGTTCCTACATAAATTATGCATACAAGAATGTTTGTTTTATTATATTGTTATATTTGCCGCGTTCTAGATTTCTTGATACATGTAATATGCAATGATAACAATGCCTTTTTATGAATTTATTACATGTACATGTATTTGTTACATGTGCATGTATTTGTTTTTGGTCACTAAATAGTATTCTACATGTACAGTAATTGAATAACAATTACATTATACAGTGCATGTACAGTCGCCACAGAAAGTAACGCCCAATTTTTTTAAAAAATAAAATTTCAGATTTATTTCATTTCTTATAAATATAAAAATATTTTTTTACCAATAGATAATACATTATTAACTCTTCATATGGCTATAATATTGCTTTGATTTCTCAAGACATTCAGCCTACAACCTCCTCAAAAGCCAACACATCGAATTTCCTTCAGAGTA